CTAACAAGCACAAAAAAAGTGCACTAAACTGCATTGTTGCGTTGCAAAGTGATGACTTTTATTACTGGATCTCAGAACGCTGTGAAACAGCCAGAGTGCCTGACTGGCTTTCCAAACAGGAAGCACACTGTTGACTCTGCTGCCACTATTATTAGAATGGACCAGATTGTGATCACTGTTTCTGGTATGGACAACTGTTCACAAGAGGGATTGGTAAAAACATGTGAAAAAGGAAAGAAAAATTTAGTAAACCACGATTACATCCAAATCCAAACCCCTGCATTTTTTAAACCCCTGCATTTTTTAGGAAGCACCAGGGTATTAAACGAGAGTTTGAATTTTTTGCATGTATTGGGCATTTTAAAGTACCGCATCTCAACTCCAATGCAAACTCCAGTGTGTATTGTGCTGAAATAAGAGACAAGGTTAAGCAAATTCTAAGCCGATGAACAATTTCTTTGCATGAATCACTTTCATGAATTGTCATGGAGATACAGACACTTGGCCTTGTAAGAGACACATTTATCAGCATTAGCAGCATAATGGAAGGCGGGCTTTGAAAGCTGATCTCTTGAGACAGCAGATTTCGTCATTGTTGGTAGGCCATGTGGACATACGTGCAATTATCTATGGAAACTTCATTTCAGTCTCCGGAGCACTGTTATCTTTCCTAAGCACCATTTTGTTATAATTCCTAACAATGGCAACCAAATCCAGAAGAAAGCATGACTGGCTTTAATTGTTCACCCAGATCAGGCTATTAAAAAAATAAAAAGATTTACAAAACTAATTATGGCTCATCAATCTGACGAAATTATTTAATTTCTAAAGCACACACAGCACATTGGTAATGGTGTCTTTTATGTTACCTAGATTAATTTCGCCCCATTCTATTTAGATATATACTGATCACATCTGAATTTCAGCTATTGATACCTACACGGCCACAAAAGTATTTGGTTGTATACTTCTGAACTCAGTCAGGTTTCTAACTGATTCTGCTTGGCGCAGGTTGGAACTTTGAAATACTAAATAGTAAAAAAGTTATCTTAAATGTTAATAACATGACAGAGGTAAACGATAGCCAAATTTTCTGTTAAAATGTGGTTTTCAGTGACAACAGGAGTCAAACACAACGGCAAACAGTTGATCAGTTGACTGACTAAAACTCTGGCAGCAGAAATGTGAGTTTTCTATAAATACAATCAAGGTGCGTATAATTGATTAGAAGCAGATCCTCCAGAAGACTGGTTTTCTTTCTATCATCTCCTCACATACACACACTTCTTTTTCACACATACATTTGCAAATTACTTTTCTCTTTATAACTTCAAACTACAAATTAAGTATCAGATTAAAACCTGGCAAAACTCCATGCAGCCTCCACTGGAGTCACTCTGAAATTTGGTTGCTCTGGCTGGATAAGGCTGTATGATTAAAGCATCATCTTTGGTCAGGGCTGCACAATACATTACCTCTGTTTTTCCTCTTATTGAGAATCAGTTTATCCCCGCAGCTGTAGGCTTCGCTTTCAGGGAAATGCAAAGATCACAAGGAAGGTTACGCCCAGACCAGCGCTGCACATCAAGAGCTCACAGGTGAGGTGATTACTCCAGTTTATTTATTTATCTGTTAATAGCTTGGAAATGATCGCATCTGACATTTTCCTTATTCTGTCCTTGCAATCCAACATTCTTCCACGTGCTTCTTGTCTGCCTTTGGCTGCAAGACCCAGCCATCGGTGGCACGGGCTGGCTCCTCACACCTACCCGGCTGCAGGCAGCTGGACCGATACCGGTGGGGAAGGGCCAGCTCCCTCCCGGGGCCTGGGGAGGGGGAGCTCCAGCCTGACGCCCACTGTGATTCAAGCCACACAAATAACAGTCACCGAGTCACGCTCGTGACAACGCACTCAGCAGTTTGCAGCTTTTGAAGAAAAGGGAAAAGCTTCGATGGGTTTGGGGTCAGGGCCCCAGTGGTTTTGTTCAGCATCACTGCGTGACTCACTGTGTCTGTGGAGTTCGTGTGTTATTACAGCAGGACAAAACCACCATTAACTTCTTATAATGGCATTACTTCATTGCTAGGTTTTGTCCGTGAAAAAAAAGATCACATTTTTAAGTTTTGTTTTTCACAAGAGCTGAAACAAACGAGACTTTTTTCATTAAACAAACACAAGCCTTATACAGAACAATAGAGCTGATGGATGTGAATCTCGCCTACTAAATATGGATCCCATCGGAAAGGTGAGAAAGCTCTAGATCTTCCCTGCTTCTCTCCCAGGGAACACGACTACTGAAAATCCCATTCCCCAGACAGCTTTTTTCCGAGGGAAAGGAATGGTCAGGAGAGATTTATCAGCCAGATCTAAGCATGCCAGAAGGGTAGGACTCCAACCCTCATGCATCTGTCTCTCTGAAACTTTGTGTACAGAAATATCAGTGATTTCTTGATCAGTTGAAATCAAGTAGAAAGAGCAAGAGGGTGAGACACCCACACAGACAAGTAGAGTTTTGACATGTAAGGCAAACTAAGGAGAGGTCAAATCACCAAAATTAAGAATAGCTGATTATTAGTTAAATCACAAATGAAAAGAAGGGGGAGAAAGAAAATAAAGGAGAATACAGTCTTTCCACCCTTTTGGAGGAGTAAGAGTCTTGAATCTCAAGGACTGAAAGCTGGGCTATGACACAGCCTGACTTTATCTCATACCCAGTTTGTGGGTGCTTTCCTAAAAAGCATACGTAGGGCAGACTGTACAGAAAGAAAAGAAGGAACAACAGTGCAAAAAAGTTCCATCAGTCATGGTGCTAGTCATGGACTTTCAGAGATCATTAAGGATAAATGGGAATTAACGATTACTGACAGTGATTATTTGCATGCAATAGCATCAGAGCTCTGCATGGCACTTCAGAGGGATGTTAATGGAGAAAAAAAGCAGAAAGAAAAAAACCCAGATTCCACCCTACAGAGCCTGCAGTCTAATTTAGACAAATGTAGAATGTGGAGATGAAGAAATGAAACTTAAAGGAAAGAGATGAACTCAAATTCATTATGCAATGTAAATGATGTGATGAGAATGAAGAGCTGATCAAAAATTCCCAAATACGATATTTCTGGCAAGAAGACACAAAGATAGATAAAGACCAATGCCATCTCCTTTACCACCACCACCAGCTCAAGTGAACTGCCAGGCAGAAGATGGGTAAGCAGTTTTGGGGTTGCAAGTCTGACGACAGGGCAGTACGACCAGCACCCAAGCATCTGGCTGAGTGCCAGCACTCCTACCTTGCGCTGGAGAACCACTTTTCTTTGTGTTTTGCCTGGTGCCTGGTATTTTCCAAGAAGCTCCGTTTTGCAATTCTGCTGAATAAAAACTTTTTCTTCAATACTGCTAGAGTGGTGGGTAAGTGCTACTATGAATTCTGCTTTTACATGACTTCATGACAATCATTTTCACAGGTATTATTTACTCTGTGTGCCCTGCAGCGGGTGCGATGTTCCAACTAATTTTCATGATGAGCTCCCAGTGAGTAAAAACACCAGTCTTGCCATATACTGTACATACCTGTAAGCATGTGGATGCACAGAACCTAAGCTCATGGCTGCTTTTCACAAAACACAATGGGCTTGAACTTTTTTTAGGTATTTGTCTCTTAAGAGCAGTGTTTTCAACCTCCCGCGCTGTGTCTGTACTAACCCCTTCGGGCCATGCCACAGGACCCAGCGGCTGTCTGACCAGGTCGGGCACTTGCTGCAGTGCGCTCTGGTCAGCACATACCAGCACATACCTCTGAAGGGATACCTGGGCTTGAGAGAGCTCTGGGTAGCAGCCTAGAGTTGGGAGATAGCTAGGACAGGCACTCATAGGCTGGGCCATGTCAATCTATAAGACTGTTTCTCAGTCTTTCCTACCCCAAATAATTGCTGCAGAAAACTGAACAGCCACCTCACACATTCCTGTTGCAAAGGTTTTAATTTTCAAGCCCAAATCCTTTGCTTGCATGACTTGCACTTGTGTGTTTACAGAGTACAGGGTTTTTTTTTCCCTGGGTGGTTTCTGGGATCACCTCCCCACGTTGTGAGTGGAGCAGAGCTGACCCAGGGTTACTTAGATAATTTTGTGAAGTCCTTTTCAAGCTTTCCAATGCAAACTACAGCTGCTGTTAATGCCTGGATTTGGGCGGAGGAATCAAGCACAAGGAATCCATTCGCTCTGCACCGATCTGTATTTCCAGGAATGAGGAAAGGAAGGACGGTGCCGCCCACAAACCCCAGTGGACATAACCCTGACTTCACGTAGCTTCATCTGTGATTTGCATGTGTGTGGGCATATATATACATTTCATCCATGTATTTTACAGACTTGCAGAAAAACAAGCTCTCTGACCTGACTGATGACTTAAATAGTTCTCTGTAGCAGGCACTGCAGGTAGAAAGCCCAGTGCCCCATTTTAAGGTCTGATTAAGCTGTGCTTGTACTGGCTCAGAGGGGGTCTGCTGTGTCCTGGGAAAGCAGGCTGCAGCCCCCGGTCTGCCCACCCTACCTACTCAGCTGCCCACGCTACCCACTCAAGTGCAACATGTTGCAATGATTTATTATGGTTATTATTACAAATGAGTCACTTCTAAGACTCCATCAACTCAGACAAGACCGGCAGGGTCTCGGTTGCCTACACTGAGCCTGCTGAGGGGGCAGCAGGGGAGGTGCAACCTTTCTCTAATGAAGGCACGATGTCGCTTTTGGCTCCTTTTGCAGGGAGGTGAAACACTATCCCCATCTCTCCAGCTATAAACAGTAACTGTACGGGTGCTGGGAAAAGCTTTAACTCCTACAGTGAGCACAAAAAGCAGAGGAAACCGGGCAGACCGCTTCCCTGAGAAGGATCAGGCCACGGGATTTCAATCAAACCGGTGTCCATAGGGAGACGGAGCGAATAGCTTGGGCTCTGCGCCGCACCCCAGCTTGGGCCAGCACAGGTTCATGTGCTGCCACCTCC